TTGTCATCTAGAGAGCTTAATGTCCTGTCAATTGAAATGGGCACTCAAAAGGAGATTGTAATTAACCAATTGGAAGATCAAGAAGCGTGGCAAATGTTCAAGAAGATGGTTGGTGATAGGGCTGAAAGTGGCGAGTTGCAGCCTACAGGCTTTGGGATTGCCACAGAATGTAAGGGATTACCCCTTGCTATTGCAACACTTGCAAAAGCTTTGAAAAATAAGACTTTGCCTGAATGGAAGAGTGCTCTACAAAGAATGAAAAGTCCCTCTCCAAGCAACTTCGAGGGGATACATGCAAAAGTTTATACTGCTATCGAGGTGAGTTACAATCACTTGGGAAGTGAGGAGCTCAAGCGAACTTTCTTACTTTCTAGTTTGCTGGGTCACAACGGTTTTATTCAAGACTTGTTGAAGTATGGTGTAGGACTAGGCTGGTTCTCACAAGCTAGTACAATAGAGGGAGCTCGGAATGATTTATTAACATTGATAAGTGATCTGAAAGCTTCTTCTTTGTTGCTTGATGGTTCTGACGGAGGGCACGTTGATGTTCATGACGTTATTCGTGCTGTAGCTTTATCAATAGCCGACAGGGATTGTCATGCATTGCTCTTAGCAGGTGATCGTTTACTAAATGAGTGTTCAGATGAGAAAGCACTTAATGATCTCAAATGGATACGTCTGGAATATCCTAATATGAATGAGCTTCCTGATGTGTTAGAGAGTCCTCAGCTTACTTTGTTTTGTTTGTATAACAAGTATCCTTCTCTGGAAATTCCAGCAAACTTCTTCAATGGAACGCAAAGACTCAGGGTATTGGACTTGACTCGTATGCAAATTTCATCCCTACCTTCATCAATTTCCCTCCTGAGGAACCTCCGCACATTATGCTTGGATCAAGGCTTATTAGGAGACATAAGCATTATTGGAGAGCTGAAGAATTTAGAAGTTCTAAGCCTTTTGAGGTCTGATATTAAAATGCTACCAAGGGAAATTGGACAGTTGACTCGGTTAAAGTTGTTAGATTTGAGTGGCTGCAGTAAACTTAAAGTTATCCAGCCGCGTGTCTTGGCGAGTATGTCCAGATTAGAAGAACTGTACCTGGAAAACAGCTTCAACAGATGGGAGCATGATGAGCATGAAAGTCAACGAAATGCTAGCCTTGCTGAGTTGAAGCAATTGAAGAAATTGACTGCTTTGGTGATACGTATTCGTGATGTTAAGATGATCCCAGAAGACTTGTCTTTTGAAAAGCTTGAAAGATGCAAGATATTCGTTGGCGATGCTTGGAACAAATGGGATAGTTCTGCTGAAATCTCAAGAATATTGAAGCTGCAGCTGAGGGCATCCATAAGTTTTGATTCTTCACTGAAACAGCTGTTGAAGATGTCTGAAGAGCTACATCTAGAGGGGTTGAAGGGTGTCAAAAACATACTATATGAGTTAGATAGTGAAGGTTTTCAAGAATTGAAGCATCTTTATATTCATAATGCTCCAGATATTCAACATATCATGAAGTCGGCAGCGCTTCACAATGCATTTCCAATCTTGGAAGTATTATCCATTCGCAATTTGATTAATTTGGAGAAGATTTGTTATGGCCGGCTCAGAGTGACATCTTTTTGCAAGTTAAGAATAATAATTGTTGAATGTTGTGATCAGCTGAAGATGTTGTTGTCATTCTCTATAGCTAGACAGCTTCTCCAACTCCAAGAAATCGGAGTAGCAGATTGTAGAAACATGGTGGAGATTGTTGATAAA